ATTTATGACCAGTCATTACACAACAGAGTTCTTGTGTTTACTGTGAGTCGTAAGAAATACACTACATATAAAACTTAGGCCTTTAAATTTTTAAGATAAACACTTGAAAACTTGTAAGGGTGTATTTTATGCACATTAAGTCCTCATGCACACTGAACGTTTTTTACAGCTGCTGTTTTTGGCTTTTGATGTTTTTTTTCTACAGACAGGAAACTCCCCAGCATGTTATCCTATGTGTCCATGCACACAGACTGTAATCAGTGTTTTTTTGGCAGGGGCGTTTTTTGCCTGGAAAAAAAAAAAAAACAGAACTAGTGGGTTTCTAGTGGAGTTTTTTAGCTGTAAAAACGCTCTAACGCTGAAAAACGCAGTAAATGGCGACAAACCAGTGTTTTTGGACTTTTTTTGAGCAAAAAAAAAAAAAAAGCGTGAAAACCGCAAACTCCAAAAAATGCGGCTAAACGCTAATGCAAAAACAATGAAAACCAAAAAATTCACGTTTTTAACATGACTTTACACAGCTAACGTTACCAGCGTTCTTTAAAACGCCCAGTGTGCATGGAGTCTGTTACCAGAAGGCACATACAAGACACTAGTGTCAGCAAGATAAACAAGAGAAAATAATAAAAAAAATATACAGGAAGAAATACATAAAAAAAAAAAAAAAAATCATACATCTACAAGAAGCGAAGTGTACAGCTAAGGAAACCTTGTCTGCCATAAATACATATTTGTACATAGCAAGAGCTCTTCTGTAGGCAGTCCTGTATTTTAATAAAGGTGCCCTTTATATTTTAGTGCACCTATTGTTATACTGTAAAATCGTTTGGTCAGCACCACTATTCTGATTTTTAAATTTTGAAAATATTAAAGGTTAATTTTTTTTTTAAATACCAAACATGTCATACACACCTTCTTTATAATGATTTTGCATAGAGCAGCTCCGATCCTCCTCTGCTCCGGACCCCCGACTGTGTTCCTGGCTCCTCCCCCTTGATCAGTGCCCCAAATAGCAAGCCTCTTGCTATGGGGGCACTGGTGTGTGCTTACTCCCAAGCCCCGCTCTGTGCGTCCATAGGACACATAGAGCCGCAGCTCGGCCCCAGCCTTCACTCTTTCCTCATTGGCTCACTGGCTGTGATTGGGAGAGGGCTCAGGTGAGTATTAGAGGGCACTGTGAGGGGGGAGCCGCAATCAGAAGGTTTCTTACCTCTATGCATAGAATGCATGAAGATAAAAAACCTTCAGCCTTTACAACCATTTGAAGCACCTCTTGGTTTTTACAATTTTTGACATAGTCAAAATATATATTTTTGCTAATAAATCAATATTAACCACGTGTGTACTATCCTGTATGTTTCCCGTCGTTACCAGGTCATTTTTTTTTTCAGTTTTCAGTGCTGTGAAAGTTTGACTGACTTTTACTCAGCCATGTAACACATATCCTTTTGTGAGACGGATAGCGCTTTTCTTTAGTGGTATTTAAAGTGATTCTAAAAGCTTTTTTTTTTTTTTTTTTAAACCTACTACGTGCAGTGGTTTTGCCTAGAGCAACCCGGATCCTCCTTTTCTCGGGTCCTCTGCAGACTCCCTGGCCTCTCCCTCCTGTCGGGTGCCCTCACAGCAAGCAGCTTGTTATGGGGGCACCCGTTGCTCTGTGGGTCCATTCACACATGGAGCCGCGGCTCAGTCCTGCCCCCTCTATTCTCATTGGCTCACTGGCTGTGCTTGACAGCAGAGGGAGCCAATAACTTCCTCTTCTGTCTCTGCCAATGAGAAGAGGGAGGCCCGGGATAGCTGAGACTCCAGTGCACATCGCTGGATCACTTTAATTTACCACTTTGGCACCATTGTAATTTTTTCATTTTTTGTACACATGCAAAAAATCTGCATTTTTGGCTTTAAGATTACTTAAAACTCCCAGAACATTATATATTTTCTGAAAGCAGAGGCCTTATAAAATAAAAAGATACTACCTACAATTTTTTTATGTTACATGATATTTACACAAGTTTATCAAATGCATATTTTCAGGAAAAAATGTAATCAAACTAATTTTAGTCCACACAAACACAATATAATACCCATTTTTTTTGGTAAAATATAAAGATTAGGACTGCATCAAGTAAATAGATACCAAACATGCCAAGTCTTAAAACTACGTGCACCTGTGATATCGCAAAAGAAAACCCAGAGGTGACACTTTAAAATCCTTTATAGTTCATCAGTTTAGTGTTAAATGTGAGCTCTGGTGTTAGAATTATTGCTCTCACGCTGACGTTCAGAGCGATACCACACGTGATGCGATCACAGTTTACATACACTTGCGCATGTTTGCATTTGTGATGTGTGAAGGGCAGTGGTGGTTACTGTTAACATTTTTCTTGAACAAATTTTTTTTTTATTAAAAAAAATTTTAATTTAACATTATTTCTATCACAAGGGGTTAACAAGCTCCCATGTGATGCCAATAGGCAGGTGACAGTACTATAATAGACCCCAATGTCTCTCCTGCCTCTCCCCTCATCTAACCGAGCAGAAATTTACTGTATATCAGCCAGACAATGACTGCTCTGAATCCAGAAATGACTAAATCGTTGTCGATTCCAGTTTCATTCTGGGCAGAGGAGATCAGAAAACGGATTGAGGGGGGGGCTATACGGCCACCAGGTCACTTTTATATTACAGCTTGGAGCTGTCCAAAGAGTTGGTAGTTCCAAATACTACAATTATATATAAAATTCCTTAACAAAGGCTGTTGCATAGCATAGTGGGCTCTTTGGTGCGTACGGATATGCACCCCTGTGCAGTTTATCATTTGATTGCCCCTTTAGAATTTATACAAAGCATTAAACTTAACATCCCTTACCCACCACACACACGTACAAAAAATTCAGTGCTCAGCTGAGAGCTAAAGCCAGCTGCATCCTCCCTTTCTCCAGCCTGGCACTCCAGTGAGCACTGGAGGGCCAGAGAAGAGAGCGGCTACTGACCACCGCTGAGCAAGAACTGAGCGATCGGTGGTCATGTGAACCCCTTAATTCTCGGGCTTAGAGCCGACAGTGGACAGCTGCAGCACAGAAGTGAGTATGTGTGTTTTTTGTTTTTTATCAACTCTAAAGTTCTCCCTTTAATAAATTCAAAGCATTCTCTGATTGGCGTCTATGCTGAGCGGCTGATCTCCTCTATTCACAATGCTTCAGGGCAGCCACTCAGCACAGGACCTGGAAGCAAGTGGAGATCACTGAAGTAGCAATGTCTGCTTTAGTGATTTTCAACTTCCAGGAGCAGTGGCCGGGTATGATGTATATGCATAGCTACATTGATCCAAGCTGACCCAATGTAACGTACAAAAAATATACCATATATAAACAATAATAACCTGTGCTTGGGTTATTATTGTTTTACACTTACACAGGTATAGGAAATGATGAAAACTTCTCTCTCTGGGCACATTCCGTCCCAGAGAGAGAAGAAAGAAGACACAGTGGCTGACGTTTGGCAACTCGAACTTTCAGCTCCCTCCACAGATTTTCAATCGGATTAAGGTCTGGAGACTGGCTAGGCCACTCCAGGACCTTAATGTGCTTCTTCTTGAGCCACTCCTTTGTTGCCTTGGCCGTGTGTTTTGGGTCATTGTCATGCTGGAACACCCATCCACGACCCACTGTCAATGCCCTGGCTGAGGGAAGAAGGTTCTCACCCAAGATTTGACAGTACATTGCCCCGTCCATCGTCCCTTTTGATACGGTGCAGTTGTCCTGTCCCCTTAGCAGAAAAACACCCCCAAAGCAGAATGTTTCCACCACCATGTTTGACAGTTGGGATGGTGTTCTTGGGGTCATAGGCAGCTTTCCTCCTCCAAACACGACGAGTTGAGTTACCAAAGAGCTTGATTTTGGTCTCATCTGACCACAACACTTTCAACCAGTCCTCCTCTGCATCATTCAGATGTTCAGTGGCAAACTTCAGACGGGCCTGGACATGTGCTTTCTTGAGCAGAGGGACCTTGCAGGCACTGCAGGATATCAATCCTTGTTGGCGTAGTGTGTTACCAATTGTTTTCTTAGTTACTGTGGTTCCAGCTGCCTGGAGATCATTGACAAGATCCTCGTGTAGTTCTGGGATGATTCCTCACTGTTCTCATGATCATTGACACTCCATGATCTTGCATGGTGCACTGGACCTGGGCAGACTCAGTTGTTTTGTGTTTCTTCCATTTGCGAATGTTTGCACCAACTGTTGTCACCTTCTCACCAAGCTGCTTGGCGATAGTTTGGTAGCCCAGTCCAGTCTTGTGTAGGTCTACAATCTTGTCCATGACATCCTTGGACAGCTCTTTTGTCTTTGCCATGGTGGAGAATTTGGAATCTGATTGATTGCTCTTGTGGACAGGTGTCTTTTTTATACAGGTAACAAAATGAGATTAACTGCACTCCCTTTAAGAGACTGCTTCTAATCTCAACTTGTTACCTGTATGAAAGACATCTGGTAGCCAGAAATCCTGATGAATGATAGGGGATCAAATACTTATTTCCCTCATGAACATGCAAATCGGTGCATAATTTGTTAGACATGCATTTCTTTCTTTTTTTTTTTTTGTTGCTATTATGTCTCTGTGTTACAATACACCTACCATTCGATGTATAGACTGATCATTTCTTTGTGAGTGGGCAAACAATCAAAATCAGCAGGGGATCAAATATTTATTTCCTTCACTGTATATGCCGAAGCATGGGGCCTGGGGTGGCCAGTGGGTGGATGGCCCCTATGCTTTGATATATATTTAAAAAAAAAATTTGGCAGAGATTTCTTCATCCACATTGACCGATGTGAATAGAGGAATCTTGTTAAGTTCTTTTTTTTTTTTTCCTTCAGTCCATGGGCTGAACAACAAAAAAAAAAGAACGTTTCATGTGTGCCCACCATTAGAAGTGGGTGAATGCAGGGCAGTATATTCTAATGGTGGGCATACCACACACTTTTTCTGGCAGAGATTTCCCACGGGCTGAATAAAAAAAAAAAAAGAACATGGCATATAGACCCAACAAGGACCAGCAACATACTGGTATATATCACTGGAGTTTGAGTCGTTATACCAGGATGATGCCTGCAGTATCGTTTTTTTTTCAGCCAGCGATCAGCTTTCATGTAAAAGCAATCCTAGTGACTAATTAGCTGCAGGATTGCTTTTACCAGCAGCTGGAGAAGATGCCGCCTTCCCCCACGGCCTTCTCGGGCAGTCCTGTGCCATCGGGGGAACCTGAGAAAGCAGCCAGTGTTTCTGCCAGCGGACCAAAGAGCTGATTGAAGACTAGAATGGCTCCAATCATCTCTATAGTCTAAGAAGTCGGAAGCTATGAGCATTTCATCACTTCAATTTCGCAGGATATAAACCGCGCCATTTGTTAATTGTAAAAAGCATCTGATCACACCGATCTTGGTGAGATTAGATGATGTAATAAGGGCATCTAGAGTCTAATAGACCCCAGACTTCTTTTTTTTTTTTTTTTTTATATATATATATATAGAATACCTGTCATGGCCATTGCAGTCACAGAGGATATATACATTCCCTGTGATAGCAATAAAAGTCATTAAAAAATGAAAGGGACAGTGTAAAATAAAAAAAAAAGCACCCTGACCGCCCCCCGCACACGCACGCACTTGCGAGCTTTGACCCCGTGCCAGTATGAAAACTGCGGTTGCACCATGTATGTGAGGTAACAAATACATTTTTTTTTTTTCAAAATTTTCAGTCTTTTTTTGTTTATAGCGCAAAAAAAAACCCAGAGGTGAACAAATACCACCAAAAGAAAGCTCTACTTGTGTGAAAAAAGGACATACATTTAATTTATGTGCAGTATTGCATGACCACGCAATTGTCAGTTAAACTAGCGCACTGTATAGCAAAAAATGGCAAAAATTGCAGTATCTGTACCATAGTTTGTAGGTGCTATAACTTTCACACAAAGTTTATAGCGCAAAAAAAATAGCGCACAGGTGATCAAATACCACCAAAAGAAATCTCTATTTGTGTGAAAAAAAGTACCTAAATTTTGTTTGGGTACAGCATTATATGACGTATGAAGAAAGAATAATTATAGTAAGATTTGTCCCCAACATTATACGTATTAAAAGTAGACATATTACACTCCTCTGAATCCTACTTTTTAAATCTAAAAAATGGATTTCATTCCTGCTTGCTTTGTGCTGTAAGATTATGCCTCTACTGTTAACATTAAGGTGATTAATAAAATCAAAAGTATACCATACCTTCTTTAGGAACCCCTGCACTGATCTGTATGTATACACTGCTCAAAACAATTAAAGGAACACTTTTTAATCAGAGTATAGTATCAAGTCAATTAAACTCCTGGGATATTGATCTGGTCAGTTAAGTAGCAGAGGGGGTTGTTAATCAGTTTCAGCTGTTTTGGTGTTAATAAAATTAACAGGTGCACTAGATGGGCAACAATGAGATGACTCCCAAAACCGGAATGGTTTTACAGGTGGAGGCCACTGACATTTTTTTCCATACTCCTCTTTTCTGACCATTTTTCACTAGTTTTGCATTTGGCTAGGGTCAGAGTCACTGCTGGTAGCATGAGGCGATGCATGGACCCTACAGAGATTGCACAGGCAGCCCAACTCCTCCAGGATGGCACATCAATACGTGCCTTTGCCAGAAGGTTTGCTGTGTCTCCCAGCACAGTCTCAAGAGCATAAAGGAGATTCCATGAGACACACAGTTACTCTAGGAGAGCTGGGCAGGGCCGTAGAAGGTCCTTAACCCATCAGCAGGACTGGTATCTGCTCCTTTGTGCAAGGAGGAACAGGATGAACACTGCTAAAGCCCTGCAAAATGACCTCCAGCAGGCCACTGGTATGAATGTCTCTGACCAAACAATTAGAAACAGACTTCATGAGGGTGGCCTGAGGGCCCGACATCCTCTAGTGGGCCCTGTGCTCACTGCCTTGCACCATAGAGCTCGATTGCCATTGAACACCAGAATTGGCAGGTACACCACTGACACCCTGTACTTTTTACAGATGAGAGCAGGTTCACCCTGAGCACGTGACAGATGTGAAAGGGTCTGGAGAAGCTGTGGAGAACGTTCTGTTGCCTGTAACATCGTTCAGCATGACTGTTTTGGTGGTGGGTCAGTGTGATGGTCGGGGGGGGGTGGGGCATATCCATGGAGGGACGCACAGACCTCTACAGGCTAGACAATGGTACTGTAACTGCCATTAGGTATCAGGATGAAATCCTTGGACCCATTGTTAGATCCTACGCTGGTGCAGTGGGTCCTGGGTTCCTCTTGGTGCACAACAATGCCCGGTCTCATGTGGCGAGAGTTTGCAGGCAGTTCCTGGAGGATGAAGGAACTGATACCATTGAATGGCCCTGTAATGTAGATGTGGGACTCAAGTGGTTGGACTGAGATGTGATCAGTAGCAATATGTAATTGTAAATTTAGTTTCATTCCTTGTTATTAAAGAAGTATTCAGTCATGTATTCAGAGACATGTGCTCACCCATTAGCATCTGAAAAGACAGAGCAGCTTCTAGGCTGGAAGTGACACCTGGATGCCAGTAAGATTTGTCAGCTATATATAATCAGACTTTGCCACCTTCTTCAAGTTTGAAAGAGGGATGCCAGACATTTCGGCTGCAGGAGACCAGGAGGGCTCTGATCTGTCTGGGAGCTACAAATTATATCAGTAGATCCAAAGGAATATATTTCATCTCTCATAAAAGCTAAAATATTAGTTGCAGAGAGGTGAAAATACTTCCATCTGATTGGACACACTGTAGGCTACATCTGCATATAAAACGGTATTTGTAGACTATGTAGGGTCCCAAAGAAATGCAGAAAACTGTTATATGGAGACAGCTGAACAGTGATTGGTACTGTCGCGATCGGACTGATGCGCTGGTGTTGGAAATTCAATCCCTGACTTGGTGATTCAAACCGTTCCTGGTCCAATCGACTTTGGGCATTTCAGCACCCAGAAGGTCCTGTGGGCTGGTACAGGAACACCCCCCAGAGTTGATTGGCCAAGGGCTAATGTCCTGCCTACGTCCATATTCCCATAAATTGAGGATTTGAGATATGGACGTTGTGATTCATATGGAGCCCGTCCTATTGACTGACAGAGTGTGGACTTTCTCTGACTTGCTCCAGTCGCAGGATAAGATTTGGTAAAAGTTTTATTTCTGTTTTTTATTCCCTTTTATTTTTTATAATGAATAGTCAATTGTGTGTCTTCTTGTATTTTTTGTATTTTCTGTAACTTTTTATACTTTCTACATATTTTATGCACTGCCCACTTTCGGGATATTAAATCTTAAAATTAATAAGTGACTTCTGGGTACTTAAGCTTGGGCTCATATCTCCGAGAGAGATTAGATTGTATTGTATTTTAGTGTCTTTATATGCTTGGTCAAGTTCATTGCTAATCTGTATACAATTGCACTGCGTGTTGGCAGATTGCGTGCAGATTGTAAGGGTGACAGGTCTGCTAGACGGAGATTTTGTGTGTGTGTGGTGTCCCAGCAGACAGATCTGCGGATAAACTGTTGGGTGGTGGCAAGCTATCGTTTTGTGGTGTGTCTGGTGTGGGGGTGTATGGACAGTGGAAGAGTGATTAACACCGGGGTTCTAGCTTGTAGGACAGATGGAGGAATCCTAGAAGGGTGTGTCGATCGCTAGGCTGCTCCTCAACCCTAATTAGTGTACCAGATTGTATGTAAGATTTGTGTCTACCTGTGTGTGTGGTAAGAGGGCTGGATTGGAGTGGAGTCTCCCTCTAGTGGTGGCCAGATGTAGCGCGGGCTGTGAAAGTATATCATGGCCGGTCTTATATATGTATATATATTCAGATTAAGTCCCCCTTATTCCCTCTTACCCCAAGTCACAGCCATACGTGCGCTCCTTGGTTAGCTAGTCGCTGTGGGCGTGTGCGTGTGGGTTGGATCCGTGACAGGCCCCCACGCTCGCCTGACCTAAATCCAATAGAACACCTCTGGGATATCATGTTTTGATCCATCCAACACCGCTAGGTTGCACCTCAGACTGTCCAGGAGCTCAGTGATGCCATGGTCCAGATCTGGGAGGAAATACCCCAGGACACCATCCGTCATCTCATTAGAGGCATGCCCCGCTGTTGTCAGGCATGCATACAAGCACGTGGGGGGCCATACAAACTACTGAGTATCATTTTGAGTTGCTGCAATGAAATTTCAGCAAAATGGACTAGCCTGTTGCATCATTTTTTCACTTTGATTTTCGGGGTGTCTTTGAATTCAGTCCTCTAGGATGATAATTTTCATTTCCATCAAACGATGGGGCTCCTTACATTCCTAACACATTACCCAGTCCATATCAGTATAGATATCCAGCATGAGATTTTTCCCTATTGAGATCTGATTTGTTTTCAAAGTGTTCCTTTAATTTTTTTGAGCAGTGTATATAGAGTTGTACTGCAGAGCAGAGAGACAAAAGGTAAGAATAATTGTGGTAAAGGTACATTAATTTAGTTTAATGTATCAGTTTTACCTTAAAAGTTTTCATAGATGTATTTTTTGTAAACTGCGTGTTCTTTAATATGTTGTTTTGTTGTTTTTTTTTTATTAAACTAGTATTCGCATATATTATACTTACTTTTTCAGGGTAGTTATACTACTAAAGAATGTCAAGTGGAAGGGTTAGAGGAAAGAGGCTTAATTCACAAAGACAAGAATCTCCTTAGTGACACTTTTACAGAATAATATCATATGCTTTGTTTTACAGACTGTTTCCATCTTGGAGCGTCGATTGACTTTTACAGAAGATAAACTGAAAGAATGCCTAGAAAATCAGCAGAACATCCCATCGCAGGTTTCAGACACAGAATGAAGTAGAACACTCTACTCATCACATTGTTTCATGCTCTTCCACTGTAAATAAAATATTTAATATATTTATTATATTTTATTTTTATATTTGCGCCAGCATTTTTAAATTAAATTTAAACTGGTTATGCAGCTTTATTTTTTAATTGTTCTGCCATGTTGAAAAGAAAGAATACTTGCCAAAATTATGACAAATAGGTTATGATGCAGGTACATTAACACACTTCTTGTATAAAGAGTTATTTTTAAAGTGATTGTAAACCTAAATTTTTTTAAAAATAACAAACATGTTATACTTACCTGCTCTGGGCAATGGTTTTGCACAGAGCAGTCCTGCTCTTCTTCTTCTGGGGTTCTCTGGGGGAAAAGGAGTTGCAAAAATGCATTAAGGTAAAAAGAAACTTCTTCCTCTGCAACCACTTGGTAATCCATAACAACCAGTCACTGCTGAAGTCAGACCAGTACAAAAT